CTGAGCGGAATGCGATACATTTTTGTAATGAATGTAGTAGTAGTAGTAGTAGTTATACGCACGGAATTCGGAACGCCAACTACGCAATATGAATCACAGGACCCGAATAAATATTCAGCTATCACGGACTGAATCACAGAAGCACTGAACCGCAATGGCACGGGTTAGAAATATCGCACGAGAACGAGACGCGAGGAAAAGGCCACAGGAATGGCAGTAAGTAGTTCCTTTATTGGAAGAAATGAGGGCGACTAAATAATATGTACAAAAGAAGATTATTGGTTATCTAGGCTACCACCAATCATATTGCAGTATTGCTTGCATGATTCTGCCTCTGTCTGCACTGTATTGGATTGACTGGCACGATTTGCCTATGACGTGTAGTCGGAAGCCGTACATGTGGCATTGACGTCAGCATTCAAATTTGGTTGATCGCATGTGTCGGAAAACTGTGACACGCCACTCCAGGGTAGGCGTCATCTTGTAGGCCTGAATTACCACAATTTTTCAGGATTTTTTGTTAGATTAACACGTCTGGCATCACACCTTGGAGGCTGTGGATGGAATAGAACCGACCATTCCTAGCCGCATGTGCTCGAATCCATCAAATGAGTCAATCATCTTATGAACAGTGTCGTTGGAATTACAATCACTGATCTGCTTGTATGGCGATTTTGCTTCGGTTAATAACCGTCGGTTACATTTAGGATGAAGTATCGGTAGTTCCAACAACTATACCGGTGCTGATCAAACCTCATGCAACAGAACTCCCATTTTGGGAATTCATTTCAGTTTCCAACATCATACTTGTATGTTGATGACTATGGCTAAAATGCATCTATCCCTGACTTCATCTCCCACTTATGTGTGCTTAGCACTCTTCTATCACCGTTTGAATTTGCTCCACCTTGATTGTTGCGATACAATCTGTAGCATTCCGAAATGTACGGCTCAGATTTGGGAAATATCTTATGCAAAGCATTATGGAAATGCGTTCTTTCTTATGAATGATTCCTGTTTCATGAAAGCTTCTATTAGGTTGAACACGCATTCTAAATTGCTTTTATCTTTTCCTTCAGTGCACGGTAAACCAACTATTGAAAATATTCTAGCTTAAGTAAAGTGATGGATTATTTGACTACAAACCATTCACGCATTATCCCTAATTCTGAAAGAACTGAAAATGTATTCCAAGAAATATAAAAGTTAACCTTGAGGTGTGCGGCTTTTGAAATAAGCGTCTTGTGGTGTCACCATACCCAGAAAGGATAAAAGATACAAAAGGTTTTAGCATATAATTGAAACCTGGTGACTCAGTTCTTGACTAGAACACTTTCTTCGTTGTAAACATAGGCCCAATTTATTGCACAATCCACGGAATTTCTCCATGAAGACAACCCAAGACGGAGAAAGCCGACCATATCGAAGCAAGACGATGGTTAAATTTGCTCTCAGCTTAGAAAAGTTTCACACAACTCATATGAAGGATAGTCCGGACGGATTAGCCGTTTGTTTTCCTCCCGCTATCGTTTGGAAGCATCTCATATTTATGTGGTTTCTGGATGGGTCAAGACCAATGTCGAATTCATTCAATTACTGCCCAGCAGTTGGGATTAGAATGTAACCAAAATATTTTTTCGTATTGGAGATAGGGATAAGTAAACTTGCACGAGAGAGTGGTTGGCAGTTGGTTTGGATGTGGGATGTGTTAGTTGAAACCTTAAAATTTCGTTGAACAGTCAACTAGATGGAATCCATGCCAAAGCGACTGCCTGCAAAGCTCAAAACGAAGAAGAGCAAATAGAACATAGACGACAGGAAAGTGCGATACCTGTATCAAGCATATGAGTCATTTAAGTGAATCAATTCTAGATATGTTTGTTTTACTGTGGTTTTGCTATTTTACAACTGATGTACCAGCAACCAACGCCACAATAGAGAAATCGTACATTTTACTGGCATCCGGTTAACAGAAGAAATGACATAAACGGAGATTCTTACAAAAATGCTGCGTCTGATCTGGGGCAACATCATATTCAATCCGGTGAATGAGGCTGGGAACACTGAGCGTTGGGAGGAACAAATGTGAAAAAAATCAGGGTTTGTCACGAGTTTGGTTAATATCTGTATGAATGTGATACATCAGAGGGGAAGTACAGAAAACATGTCCTCGGTGAAGATAAACGGTATTTGCTCCGAGCTACGAGGTGCAAAATTAAAAAAAGAATAGTCGAGAAATAGAAAACCGCAGATTTCAGGTGCATCAAATAAACGAGAGAAATTGTTTACAAACAAATGTATGCAATGCACGACTTGTATGCTCATTTAAACAGTCTAAGAAGTGATCTGCCATTTGTGTTATGTCTTTATCGACTACACATAATTCTAGGATCGTTTATTCCTTCTCATTCAAAGAATAGATCTTGACGCTATTTTTATGCGTGCATCAATGAGCATTCAAAACTATACTGTTCATTGACAGCACCTCGATTGAAGAAATCAATGCGATTATTGTGTTCACAATGAACGAAACAAAAACGGATGACATATTTTTTCATATTGAATTAGCAATAGGAAAATGACAAGTAAGGAGGAGGAGGACAACAAAGTAGAATCAGTTGGAAGCCTATTGTCTTGGATTCACGTAACACTCTGGATAATTCGGGAAGCATACCACTGAACACGACGTATGCGATTCCACTCTCGCGTGTTGCACCGGCTGTCCCGTTCTAGTTCGCTATGCGAGAACAGTCCGAAAAGAAGAGACCAGCACTTCCCGAGGGAACACCTGCTCTCTTTCTCTATTGACTGGCATACTTTTCTCATTCAAATATGACCTGGTTTTTGACCATATGGTCAGATAGCTGAGGGATAGGAAGAAGTTTCGGTTGCGTTGACTCAGGGTTTGTGGACGCGTTCAAAATTTTCGCCAATCATCACTGATGGGAGTAGTTGATCAATCTGAGAACACCTTCCTGATTCTTAAGACTTGTATGAACCTGCTAGTTTGTGGACGATTAAGAATGGGACAGATGCGGCAAGCCCTTGAAGCCTCGAAAACCAAATCCATTTCAGAATGTCTGTAAGTAAAAAAGCCGGTCAATAAAGCTTTGGTATTGGATCCTGAAGAGTATGGCGATGAAACCACGAATCAGCAGCTGAATCGTCCTGATAACTTAGCAGGTGGGAGTTCAATTCTTGTATTGAGTAGAATAAATTAAATCGACTAAGTTTGTCGTTGTGATTTAGTTCAAAGAGCTACTGCTGTTCCCGGAACTACGTACTGCAGTTTCCTTATAGCCAATAAATAAGAAGGCAACAATCTGGACTAGAGAAATCCAATCAGCAGTTTAACAACAGTTATAAAATGGATGCTGATTAATTGGTAAGTTCTGATGGAACCATATTTTCTTATGCATATTTAGCATGATTTCGTGTAATGAACAAATTTTACGCACGTTCACCTTGGTGGAGGGAATTCTGACAGGTGATTTCGGATGCGATTCTGATTGATGAAATGTGTATATTATCAAAACATCGGTCGCTTCAATCTAATTAACCGCAAAGAATGATCCCCGATTCGCAAACTAACTGGAATGTATGCATAGTGTTTGTGTTGAATTCCAGAAGTGGATATAATTTACGGACTCGGTGCGTGCTGACAGTTCAACCGACCGTAAAGTATCTGGCCTCAGGTAGAACCAATCTTGTGATTGCTACAGCCGAAATCTATAACGCAGACTGAATAGGGTTCGTGGCCATGCTGACCGCTGGCTCAAGCGGTCCATTCGAAAGTCACCGTGGCTCTCGGCAGTCGGCCACAGGCAGTGTAAACTCGGCTATTGGCAAAACCCATTCTGATTGAGAAATTGCAACTGTACTGATGCAGCACTGGATAACTGTAAGGGGTTGTGAAATACCAAGGCATAGTTTATTTTTTTAATAGTAAGCCCTGGTTACACCATTGGGTAATGTTCTGTGGCACGATGCTTTAAAATATATATCTTGTAAAAAACGAAAACAAACATGAGTATCCCTCACTTGAACGTGGCTTATCGGACAAAGGCGCTTGTGGGTTCATAATACGTTCAACGAGCCACATACTTATAGTGTCACAACTCGCTAAACCATGCAATCACCAAGCCCAAAACGACAGTTGGAATGATCTAATCACGTACGATATCGAAAAAATATCAAAACAAAACTTAACAGGTGTAACCAGTAAGCCAGTGGGTTTAATCAGTTCAAGCTATGCGTGTCGGTGAGCGAAGTCAATTTGGGCAAAAAGCAACTTAAAACTGTTGCTTACTTGGTTAGGGGGGAGGGGCAACGGTTTGCAGACAGAGAGTATGAGAAGCCTCTGCCACAGTGGTTGTGCGCTCGCACTGGGCGAAGTGAATTGTTTTGACCGTCTAATCGACCTCCCAGAATGCTCGAATTAGTCACCCGGACTGATACTCTATGAAATGCGATCAGATTGATTGTCGTGCAGTTCGAATCAGAGCTAACTCAACGTAAAACCGGTACAGTTAAAACGAAATCCCACTGAAGTCATTCTTTTGCAAAACGATGACCGGTTCGGTCATCTTTAGAAGTAACGGTTTTAAGCAAACATTAACATTCCATGGAACGTATTTTTTGAAACGTTCATTGCGTGTACAGATTTCTTGGTGTTTACGAACGCTAATTGAATGCTTTTTTAACACAAAAATGCTGGTAATCTTCTGTATTATCTACTAATCACGTCAAGCATAAAATTGCAAGATGATCTGTTATCTTCAATTAAATCCGGAATGTGACAGAATATAGTTCACTGCGTCAGAATGAATACAAAACCTGAGTAACCTGTTTCAAGTTTTCCGATTTACGAGGTTTGTTACCGTGAGTTGAGTTCGCGCGCGCGTCATATTCACAAAACAATGCAACTAACAGGATCAGCTGCACTTTGAACACAGTGACCTTTACCTCCACGTCATCAGCATCCGAGAGGAGCTCAGTTCATGGAACACATGCTACGCTTAAGGTAAGCAGCTTTTGAACATTACCATAGTTCCTCACAATCGACGAGTGCATTTGAACTTAGATGAGATCAGCAGGCGCGCGCGCGAGATATATATTGGGATCTCGTGGCACACAGTTTTTTTGACAATTATGATGACGATGATGACGATGATGATGATGATGATGATGATGATGCTGATGATGATGCTGATGCTGCTGCTGCTGCTGTTGCTGCTGATGATGATGATGCTGATGCTGATGCTGCTGATGATGATGAGGAGGAGGAGGAGGAGGAGGTGGAGGCGAACAGATTAAGCATATCACCGAGGGCCAATACATGCTGAATTCTGTGGTTTTCAAGAAAATAACCGGCTTGTTAAAAACAACAATGAATACTGCACATGAACAACAGAATATGCTTATCCGTTTCACGGGTGCGGTGTGACAAAAATAACATACCACTCTGCAACACGTTTTCAAAAAGCTACCGAATAAAGTCACTCTGACCTTGAATCCGAATGGGAGGTTTGCTGTCTTCTAATGTAAACATGCAACACAATGTGGCCAACTCTCGATGTTTTTTTGCACTGCCAGTGGAATGAATTAAAGGGAATTGATATATTTTGCAGCAGGTGGAATAACGGTTGTTGTTTTTTATGGGCCGAGGGAAGTCCCAGAATAGACCTTTGTCGGTCACGGGGTTGAACCAATTCCCTCCTTCATAAGCAACATGGATGACTTCCTTCGAGCTTATGATTCCAGTAGGATCAATGTGATTTTGAAGAATAATTTGTGTGAAAGTTGACATATAGTGCGGTACAGTTGTTTCTTCCTTGTTGGGAACCATCAGAGATCTGTTTTAAGATTTTCTAGCCCGACGGAGACTTATCGTTGAAGAATCCCAACCAGGATGCTGCAACTGACCGATACTGTTTGTCCACCTTCACACATACATCAGCTCACAAAGGCGATGCGAAAAAGGAGAGTAATGAATTCTCAGGGAGTGAGAACCACACCAGAATTGCAATAAAATGCCACGGTGAATATAAATTCTCACGGAATTAAAGGCTTTGTAGCTCAGTGGGAAGTTTATAGTCGAGTGAAGTGCATTGAGTTTTCCCAAAGGAATAATAATATCACTCGTGGTGTCATACCCTGACAAATGTGATTTCTCTCACATGACATTTGTAAAATGGAAAGTTTTGAGCACATATCTGGAACCGTTACTTGGTGCATTCTGTACTTGGTGAACGATAATACGAAAGTGTTGCATAAGGTACCAGGCAAACTGAGTAGAATGAGATATTGGTAAATAACGGGGTTCCATTGAACGAAATTGGATGCTCGGCCGTTAATCTGATGGGCTTAATTTAATCAACACAATCAAATAAATCACAATAGAAGCAGTGACAAAGTGAGTAATATCCTGGATCCTCTGAATAAAGATAGATGTTAGCCACTTTTGTATCGATCGAAAAATAAGCAGTACAACGGTGGCTGTGGAATCGCAATGCTTGACAGTTCAGTCAATAAGAGCTGGGATAAGTAATACGCAACAACGAAAAGGTAATTGGAAAATGAATTAGAAAATTCCTTATGTTTGAGCACATTCCAGTCGTTCCTCTACTAAGGAATGAACAACAATAGAACGGGGGAAATTACGCTGTGAGGGCTGCTTAGAGGCAGCTCTGACGAAAAAGGCACTCACCTCACGCGAACTCAATATGCGTTAGCTGTCAATATAGTGCAAATATTCTTGACTAGATATGTATAAACTGATTGCCTAACTAATTATGGTCACCTGAAATCATGATAATTTGTTATGTACCACCTATGATCAGTTTCCTTACGCTTCACTTATTGCCGATATCCAGGTTTCTCTCAAACAGTCCTTTTCCAACGAATTCAGCATAACAAAGACCATGCATGTACGTGCGATCTTGTTCAACTGGTCGGATGCGACTTACCGGTATATTGGCGTTATCCCGAAAGCCGCCGATGATTAGAGCTGGTGATGGTTGTCTGGGTAACCTGATTCAATTTGGGCGTGCCTATCATTGTTGCTAACCTGTAGCTGTAATTGTGGGTCCAACTCCGATATCTGGTGAAATTGCCGGTGGCAAAAATTCTAGCCTTGTTGATTGGACCATAAATGTGTTTAAAAATCGCCTCCTCCTAGTAAACCTCCATCGATTCATTGAATGACAGCTATTTACCCTCAAGTATAGAATCAGGTTGCATGCTTCTCTTATTTAGTTATCACGTGATATTCAGAACTCGTTTCATTTGAAATAACTCTAAAGTGAATTCATGTAATCCAAAACGAAACCCAAACATAATTGTCCGTTTGCTTGATTGCCTGACTATTCTGTATGAAAACCAAATTTTGAATAACTGACTATCGGTTAAACTGGTCTTTCCGTCTCCCCTGTCATCATTGATATCTGTTTTTCTGTTAGGCCGTTCCGGTCCTCAGCTGAACCGGCTCCCCATAAGGAATAAACTGACGGAGGCCAATGAGTAGTAACGAGTAGGTATGGAGAAAAAATGAACGATAACCCACATTAGCGCAATCTTAAACAGTGTGATGCAACCTGGTTAGCTTTGCTTGCTATTCAGGCAGACAGAATTCATAACAGTCAACAAGTTCAATCATGTGCTATGATCTTCACTCACTAGCTTATATGTATACGAGAGAAAAATCTCTCAGACTTAAAGGAGTGCAGTCCTCCAGCGGAAAGCTATCCCGCATAAACGAACTAGGATCAATGCCAACCTCTAAGTTAGTTTGGTTTTAGTTGACTGAATCAATATTTGAGGGAATAAGTAGTTCCGACGTCAACACACAAATAATATCGATCTTGGCTCCTACTTCTGTCTGAGATCTGTCACCTGAACAGCTGGTTCAACAACTTGTTGCCACCCGAGTGGAGGAAAACGTTATCAGCCCAAAACTGAAATAAATTGACCGGTTCCAATTTGTCTGTATGTCCTCTGGTGGTTTCATCTTGGCTATTGCTTAGTAGCAGATAACGCACGTGCACTGTTTATGGACACGTGAGCCTGAATAAACTCATTACATGCAGTCATTTTTTGTTATGGAATGGGAATTCCAGGGAATTGAGAAAAACAGTATTGAGCTCGGAAACGATTTACTGGTTTAATTCACCTTTACCACCCCTATTGCACTTAATGTAACCACACACATGTTATATTGCTACTCCGATTTTGATAGTTTATCGATGTTTAATTTGGCATTCATCGATCCACTTCTCAGCTTTACTGGAAACAAAACTTTTGAAGAATCTTATCTGTGCTGTGTGTCATCTGTTCTACACCAGTTGATGAGCATCCATTTCACGAATTTCACGATAAAACAGTACGGAACTATGTAGACGGGTAGAAGTCTTCCTGCATTCATATAAATCGATACCATGTTCATCAAAGTTTAAAATTAAGCTTCAAACGCCAAAACCTCAGTGAAACAATTCGAGAGGAGTAAGCCACGTTTTGGTATAGAATTCCGACTATTACAGTGCGTTGCATGATCTTACCAACTCTCCAATTAATGCTAGCGCTGACATTATGAGATAAATTTCTCCACAACTGTTCTAAATCATAAAGTCTCAATTGCTTTCAATCGGATGTAGACATGGTATTGGTTTTTTAAACCCATTTTTATGTATCTTTATAAAACTGTATCTGAGACACAGTTACAGTACACAATTACAGCCAGAGGGTAGCAACCGTAACGGGAAGGCCCATTTGCTAGTAAGAGACGCTTCAGTTCAAAGCAAAATATGTTCGATGGTGACCACGGGCTAACAGTATTGTCCTAGACATGATACGAGCCAGTATACGAGATATTCAGAGTCTACGTGGTGGTAAAGCGTTTGACTGATGATCCCACATAATCCGTTTGTTATGTCTCTCGTCTAACCCGGTCGTGGTCTAGGCAGAGAAGCCAATGTTTTACAGTGTACATTGATCCTGTTTTTCAAGATTCTGTTCACGTTGATCAATCTTGCCGGTTCGCACTGACTTCCATATAACTTTTAATAATACCTGAATGTACTTTTTAAAGGGTGTATTGAATATGAAGCCCATCATTCCACGCAGAGAATGATGGTTCAAACAACTGAAAATATCCTAATATCGCCACCTGATCGGGATGAGGTTATCGATGCCGGGTTCGACTGAAAACTCAGGACATTACCATCGAATACAGCTTGGTTCCGATTCACTCATCCGACAAAGAAATAAATGATTGTGGTAACTGTGGGTTCGTGACGCAAGGGGGGACTATTATTAAAACATTTTATTGCAAAACCGGACAGTGATAAAAGAAAACAACCACAACAAATACCAATAATTTAAGGTTTTAGGATGGGGGAGGGTTGAGGGACACTACAACATAAAGGAGGTTCTCCGCAGGTTGGTTGTCTGAGGGAAATGGGATAATAAACGAGATCAGCTATATAGATGGCATCAGGGAACCGATAAGAATCACGAGTGGTCTGACACATCGAGTCTCGGAGAAGAGAGGATAAGTCAAAGTACCAGCCCACACATGCACACGCACATGCACACACATGCAAGCGTGGAAAAACTAAACTTAATAAAAGGGAGTGAAGGATCGACTGGTGTGGAACAAGAAAGAAATTTTAGCATACGGTACAATTGCCGACAGAGAAAAACATTCAAACCTGGATAATTTCGCATCTTTCCATTCTGGTGCAGCAATAAAATTACTTTAGTTCATCCTTTCATAGCGATTCAACATTTCTCCGTGTTTTTGGACGACTGGTAATGTTGTACTTTGGCGCGGTAAAACCAGCCGTATGGATTCACTGTTGTTATAATCCTACTTACGAACTGAGCTGCTGCAGATGTGATGACTATCGTTAAAGTGCTTCAACAGTTTGCTATACACACTGTGTTCATTTGAGTGCAGTTAAGCTGAATAGTGTGTCGACTTTCAGTGAGTGATTCGACTGGAGGAAAAAATGTTGCCACGGATGGAACCAGGACTACATCACACTATCCATTGGTGAGGTGGCAATTCTTCCAGATGAGCAAATTCGATGACTATCAGGACAGTTCTCCTCAACCTCCAAAGATTTTCGTTTCTTGTTCATATTGTTGGAGGGCAAAACAAATCCTCCTAACTGCGTACTTCTCTGCAAGACTACCTTGGATCACAGCACTCTTGATTTACCCCAGTGGAACTAATTTCAGAGCAGCAAGCTGCTCCTGATCCCGTTTACGACCGAGCGTACTACAAGAAGTGAAAGCTTGTGTTGTGTGACACCTATAAATGGGATAAAGCTGAAGGCTACCTGTG